AAAAGAATGGGGTGTCATATAAACTGCTGTTTTGCAGCTAATTTGTTGTTGCTTCCTATGGTAAATGAGCCTTACATTTTGAGTTTGATTTTTCGTTTGCGGGCCGACCTTATCAAGCTTGGTTCAGAATTACAACGATAATAAAATACCGGAATGACCTTTCAGCGCTGTATCTATTTATTACTCAATGGATTTTTCTGGTTGACCGACTACAGGAAGCTACTTTGGCTTACTCTCGGTACTCTCAATGCTTTCTCTCTATCTTCATGTGTATGGATCATTTCAATGTATGTGTCTGCACAAGGAGCAATGCGTACAAATTCAACTTTTTCTCATATTTCGGACGAGTAATATGAAATAATTAAACATTTTCTTTTGCACCAATGATCTGCTCTTTCACACACATTTGTGTGTGTGTGTGTAGAGCTCGAAATTCGGAAATCTGAAAAACTTCAAATCTTGTCAAATTTGCATCGGACAGTCAGACAACCAACAGGCACACAAATGCATAAATGCTATCCATATACAAAATTGTGCAAGTGTGCCATGCACGCACAAGTCACAGAAATGTTTAATACCATGCCAACGCTTAGGTACCCTTACCCTTGTTGCAAACCTTCTGATTATCTCATATTACAAAGGGGAAAAAATGCGATCACAATTTGAGAAAAATTGAGTTTGCGCGACTAGTACAAGCGGACACATACATTTAAACAATCCCTTGACATAATGAGAGAGCATTGGGAGCACTGAGAGTAAGCCAAAGAAATTTCCTGTAGTGGGAGTGAAATAATAAACAGCGATGCCGTTTTACCACACAATTCATATGTATATCTTACTCTCTTGCTTTCTGAGCAAGTGAGCGAGTCTCGGACCCGAACAAAAACGAAGTCGAGTTAGACCAGAAATAAAATAAAATGCATGGCCACATGTGTTTCTACTATCTGTTCTATCTATATGTTGTATGGTTAGTGGTAATACTTGAACTTTGCTTAATACCAGATTGAATCAGTCGAAAAGTCTGGTTGAATGTTGGGGACTCTAAGACTGTTACTTCAAAGAAATGGAATAAAATGTATTTCTCAGAGTATGAAAAATTATTTAAATTTTATGACTCTAGTTATGAATCTGGGGGATATATAAAAAGACTAAACCGACTGAACTGAGATCAAATGGATAGACGGACAGACAGCTAAACGGGTATTTCACAAAACCTAATAACAAAGTATAAAAGCAAATAAAATTAATAATTTGTTTTGCATTCATTTTTTATTCATTAAATTCATTAAATTTAAAGTATGCGTTAATAGTCACTACACACACTAACCAAATCCCATATAGATAAGACATGCAGTACAATTAATGTGGACATTCAAAATTGTTGACATCTGCTCCAAAGTCGTCTTCGTCTTGGTTCGGGTTCGAGACACGCTGCCATGCTCAGTCTGCAAGAGAGTAAAAAATACATCTGATTTGTGTGGCAGACCGGCACTGCTGTCTTTTATCTTGCTCCCACTACAGGAAACTGCTGTGGCTTACTCTGATCCATATCATTTGTGTACTAGAAGGGCATCGCTGATCTCAGTGCTCTCAATTCTCTATCATTATGTTACGGACCGTTTATGAGTCCGCACAAGCAACAATGCGCACAAATTCCATTTTTTTCGAAATGTCGGAGGCATTTCTTCCCTTTCAAAAGAACGAGTAGTATAAAATAATGGAAGGGTTTGCCACGTGTATGCGAAACTCCTGCATTTTAAGTCGATATTTTTTAAAATAAACTTTAAATCTTTCCGAATTGTATCGGGCAGGCAGGCAACCCAACAGGCACATAAACGTATAAATTGTGTAAGTGTACGTGCACGGCAACTACAAAAAATGTTAAATGTACGTATACCTCTGCTTAGATACCCTTACCATCGATAACGAGCTAAAATTCAAGAATTTCGCATCGACGTGGCAAACCCTTTCATTAATTCATATTACTTGTTCATTCAAAAGGGAAGAAATGCCTCCGACATTTGAGAAAATAAATGAATTTGTGTGCTTTTTTGCTTTTAAGCAATTTTTAAATATAATGAGAAAGCACTGAGTCCGCCAAAACATTTTTCTGTAGTGGGAAAATCATCATGAAACTAATTAAGTGAAAGCGAAATAAAAGACAATGATGCCGTTCTAGCACACAAATCAAATGTACTCCTACTCTCTTGCCGTCTGAGCATGCGAGCGTGTCTCGAACCCAAACAAAACCGAAGACGCCTTTGGACGAGATGTCAACAATTTTCAATGTCTTGTACTACTTCAATTAATTGTACTGCGTGTCTTATCTATATGTTTTTTGGTTAGTACAACAGACTAATCCATATAAACGATGTAAGAAAACATTGATATTTATCAAACCAATAAGACCGATTTTAGTCCAAAGTTTTTTTTTATATGTTTTACAGCATTTGATTTTTACAAAATCAGGTCGATGTTTCGAAACTCTGTAGTAACAGATCACGCAGCAAAGTAAAAAATATCCCGCCTACGCCTAAATTATAGTTTTGGAAATTGATAAATTGCTCAACAAGCATAGCCTGCTCAGACTAAAAATATACAACCTACAGAAATTTTGAAAATTCTTATGGATGCTCTTAGCAACTGTCAAAGAAACAAAATACAAGCAAGTTATCCCTATTTATACCGAACTGCTTCAAAATATAGGTTATTTTTTGGTACTTAACTTCGAGCCGGTAGGCCTTTTCAGGAACATGCAACATTTTTAAGGATCAGAATATAAGGTTGATAATTGTGAAATATATATACTTAAATATATATATATGTATATTTTTATTATTTTTTTATTAATGAGTAGCTTATGAACTATTATAAATTGGGGTTAGGGTAATTTACATATGGAAGTCTTAGCTCGGCAAAAACATTATAATTCTCATATTGAGCTATACATATACATAATTGAAATACATTTGCTTACAGACTTCGTGTGGGTTTTTGTACGCTTAGTAAATTATCAAAAATATCAGATAAGTTAGACTACACATATACATGTTTGTACATACCAAATGTAAATACGTATAATTTCATTATTTAATGACATAATGCAATTAAACCTTTATAACAGCCGAAACCTAGATCATGTAAACAGATTCTGTAATTTATCTTATTAATAAAACAATAAGCATTTGATAAAAAGTTATTTCTTCAAATTTGTACAATTTTTCCAAATCTAAAAAATTATAAGAATAACTTTATATAATAATTGCATATTGGAAGCACATTATTTTCACTCTTAAAACTGATATAATTCCAAATCTACTTAAGAAATAAAATATATTGTCTACATTAAATAATTTTAAATTTAATTATATGGTCATGTCAATATGCCAGCCGTTAAAAAAAAAAGATTATTGAGTTAAAATGATTTAATAAAATTTGGATTCCTATGAATTGTAAAGTTCGTTCGTATTTCGTATGAAAAATAAAACCCCACAAGGAGCATGGACTAAGTTACATGATGTCTTTAGTATGTGGACCCGAGCAGAAGATCTCACATTTCTCACACCCTCTCAATGTGAGCAAGGCAGAAAAGTTTGGCTCACTAAATGCAATGTACATAGCAAGCATCAGCGTTCTATGTGGATTTTGGAGAATGAGATACAAAAATATATTTAAATTTTGCACAGATCTGCTGAATCAGATGCCTAATATATGTGCATACTCGAAACAAAGCTAATATGTTAATATGCTTTGCGTTCCAAATTAAAGGCCAATTTTTACTTTTGAGAGTAGAAAGAATTAATGTGCAGGAAACTTCATCCTTGCAAGATGTTCATGATGAACAATGCTTACGAGCACTTAATCTTAACTAAAAGCCACGTGAAGGGATTTTTGAATTTAGTTTATAAAGATGTATGCGGTCTTTTTGATTCGAAGATTATTGACGGAATATATTTCTTGAAAGGAAAATTTGTAGAAAGACAAACATCTGCGTGAGTGTCAAACATTTAAGAAACTTAAGCGGTTTTGAACTTTTTAGGGTTCTTTACAAACAAATGAAATATCAAGAAACCTGTCGGCGTACCCTCCGCAACAAAATGGTGTGGAACGCGCCAGTCTGGCAACAAAAGAAATTACCGAAGACAGTGCTTACGACCAGTAACCATATAACATTTAGATGGGACAGCTAGAAGAAAAATTGGTAGCCATTCACTTTTGGAGTTCATATGAATTGTGTGTTAGAACGGCAACGCATTTTTTTTTTCGCGCCGACTACAGTATACTGCTTTCGCTTACGCTCAATGCTCTCGCTGCTCTCTCATTATACCTATAGGCCGTTTTAATAATAATAATATAATGCAAGAGTTCACATTAGGAACAATGCGTACAAATTGAGTTTTTCTGAAATTTCGGAGTCATTATTTCGGAGGCATTTCTTTTGAAACGATGAGTACTATAAAATAATGAAAGAGTTTGCACGTCGAAGCGCAATTGTTGCAATTCAGCTTGTTATTGTAAGTCAACCTAAGTTTTGGTAACTTTTTGTGCCGGCCATGGCACTCACAATTACACAATTTTGTTTATGGACAGAAGCATTTATACATTTGTGGTTCTGCCTATTTTATGCACACTTTGATTCGAAGTTTTTGGGCTTTATGAAAGTTGCGCACTTTACATACACAAATGTGTGTGAATGAGCTGTTTAAATTTTATTATTGACACTCGTCTGACGCGCAGTACTCGTGTTTATGATTTCGGGTTTGGATTGCTAAATGGCTGTTGACCTCTCATTGCCTGCAGCAGCTAGGGAGCCAAAATAAAAACCGCGATGCAGTTCTATCACACAAGTGATATGGATTTCTTACTCTCTTGCTCTCAGAACAAATAATAAAATCTCGAAACAAAAACGAAGTCGACTTTGGACCAGAAATCTGAAAAATATATATTTATTTTTTTTAAAAACGGTGCGCACACTAGGTCTCTGATCGATCTGAGGCCAATGGAAATGTGAGCTGGTAAGTTTAGCTCCATAACAAGCGATGATAAACAGATTAATTACAACTCTTGCTGTTCTTATTATTTTCTTCCCATAAATTGTTTCGCTTTAATTGCACAAAAGAAAGTAAAGAACAACTCGTTTTTTCTAATTATATTAAAATGCAAAATATGTGTCACATCTTTGCGTTGGTCGGTCACTCTCAGTTTGGCAACATCCCGCTACGCTAATAAATCAGCTGCTTGGGACTGCCAAGAATAAATAAGACAGCATTAATAACAACATTAAGCAAAACAGAAGAAAATGTAGTAATTATCGCTAACTCCCATTCTATTTATATCGTGAACCCGTAGTAAATGAATAAAATATGTATAAATGGATTTTGACAAAATTTATATAACAGGCAGAAGGTAGCATCTCAAAACCGCTGATCGTTCGTCAGTTTGTGCAGCTGCCCGTTTATATGAAACTGCTAGCGAATCAAGTTTTCAGCGTAAATCTTTTTAGTAACCGCATATTTGTTCAGAATTTTCGATGTGCAGATCCGGTTTCAAGCAATCAATACAAGTCGATAAAAAAAAGTAGTTTGCTTGAGCATATATCTTAGGATTTAAGAGCTGGAGTCACCAAATTATTCGTAAAAAACTGATTCTGGTTTTCGTAGATGGTTCAGGATATTTGATATTAGGTTTTTTTCATTATTGATAACAAATATTTATTGTTGTTGTTGGATTTGATCGGGCGCTTATCTCGCTTGATATTTCGGTTCCTAGAAACCAAATATGTTAGTCGTATTTCATAGAAACGTATTTATTTAATAGTAACAAGCATCGAGATTAGACATTTTGCGTGAAAAAAAATTGGCACTACGGAGAAGGGATCTTAATGGTAAGCTTATGGCCAGGCATAAAGAATCGACTATGTTACAACGGCGAACCAACAGCAGCACTACAGAGGGTGCAAAAGTCATTTGAATGTCTTACTTTTTTGTTAATCTTATACTGGATATGTTTTTGCTGGCAGCTCTATATTATGGTAATCTGAGAAAAAAATCAGCTTGCCACTGTAGCTTTGAATTTAAGCGTAGAGCCTTGTCAAAAGCGTGCAAGGAAAATATCGCCATGGACATTCTTTACGTCGAAGTTAAATGCGGCATAATGAAAACTCTATCGGCTTTATATGGTGACGACCTTCATAATTTACGCAGAACCTCTTGCACTAGACACGATAGGCCCATAATGTAGCAATTTGTAAAGAAGGGTAAACATGTGTAGGAGTAAGCTTCAATTAGAATCGATTTTTATAAGTACGATTGCATTAATTGCGAGTACGGTGAACCAACAATGGTAATGTATTCTGGAATCAAACTGGGTTGTATGATTTGCTAACAAGTTCCGGTAAAATATACATCACCAGCTGCTCATTTATATGTAATGCATTACTCTCATTAAAAATATTTGACCCCCACATCAGCTCTAAAGATGTATAGATATACACTAGTGATAAATACAACATTTAAGTCTCTGTATTTTCTGGGAAACCTTTTCTATAATCACCTGTTGTTGGTGCAATAAATGAAAGGTATACCTGAGATCTCAAAATATTAACCTAGTTACCCGACTTATAGCCCCAAAAGGCATAGGCGTTTGTTTTTCCGTAAAGCCATCTCTGAATCAAAATTTACGTAACTTGCTAGTCTAAAACAAAACAAGAGGTTCTAGTCGGGAGCTTCCGACATGGGGATACCCTGAACCAAAGACAATATAAACACTAAGATGAGTAACGCCATATAACAAAATGCTACTATGCAGCTTGATTTTTTGAAAATTGAGAACGAAAACGAAATCTGTAGCATTGCGCTCTCACAGCCGAGAGAACGAAAAAGCTAAAAATAGAATTTGGTCTCAGCTTCGGCTCGGTGAGGGCCGTGCAAGCAATTATGTTTGTCTGCGTGTGAATATACTGTTATGCTGCTATGTATCATATTTGAATGTGTTGTCATCCACTGCTCTGGCAAAGTCTCTGGCTGGCAGAGAAACAATTTGCTTAGTTTTTTAGCGCAGATCACGACCTACCCAAAGTTTCAGTTGAAATACTTATGAATGCATTTCGTGTACTGAGGTTGGCTCCGTACAAAAAAATTTGTATTTTTAAGTCGATGCAAATATTTATGTAATTTTTTATATTTGAAATTATTAATGAAATTATTATTATTTTTAGGTAATTCAAAATAAATGAAGGAAATAAAAGTGGAAATTTGTTGTTTTCTAAAATACATTTAATTAATTTGTATTTTTTTTTTTTATTTTATTATTTTTTGTTCGAATTATAAAGAACAAAGTACGCAGGGAACACCGCGAGGAGGCCATTATAAATATAATGGGCTCATAACTAAATATGACCTTCAAGTCGACTTGAAATGTAATTGTATTTTTTAGCACTCCTTTATTTTTTAATTGGAGAATAAAAATAATATTAATTTAATTTAAAGAAATTATGTAAATATTCGCATCGACTTAAAAATACATAATTTTTACGTAGCCAACCTCAGTACACAAAATGCATTCTTGATATATGAATTTGGGATAGGTCATGATCAGCGCTAGAAAACTAACAAAATTAATTTCTTGCCAGCTAAAGCCAGAGCAGTGAATAGCAACAAATACATACATACATACTTTAAAGTTCTTATGCATGTGTAATTCACGCAAACAACCAAAGGTGCTTGCACGCCATTGACAGAGACAAGAACTTTTCTCGAGCATACACGGTTCAAAAACAAAATTGAAATCAATCTATGTGTGCTATTTTCTTATCGTAGTTATTGCACAAGATGCGCCTTGTGGAAACATTATTTAATTCTTAAATCTTCCTGTAAAATTAATCGTTACTATCTATTGTAATATATAATTTAAATAAAGCATGCATTCCATGGACAAAGCACAAGCATTTTGCGTCGATCGTAAGTAAGTAAGTAAGTAACGAAGCGACGCAAAGAAGCATCGACCAGCTTTGCTAAAGGCAGGCTGGAGACTAACTTCGTTGCTCGTGTCAGCATCAGCATTCGTTCGTCTGGCCTTTGGAGAGCGAACAACTAGTCGGCAGGCATGCCTTACGAAGCCTCAAAGGCCAGATGAAGGGCCAGGCTAGAAATTTTGCGTCGCATTTAAATATATGGGCGTTACTCATCTTAGTGTTTATATTGTCTTTGCCTGAACCCTCTTCTTCCAACATCAATGCATATATATTCTCTTTTAGAAGCTATATGTCAAGTTTGGTGACTCTAGCTCTTATTATTTACCAAAGTTGCCCAAAAAACAGGATGTCAATATCGATTCTTATCGATTGCTTAGAAACGGAGTAAGGTATCGATTATCGGAAACAAACTCAATATGCGCAGACACTAGGAGCACATACATCTAAAATTTCAAGTCTCTAGCTCTTATAGGTTCTGAGATCTTTGCGTTCATACATACGGACGGACGGACGGACGGACGGACGGACAGATAGACGGTCTTGCCTAGATCGATTCGGCTATTGATGCTGATCAAGAATATATATTATTTATGGGGACAAAGATGCTTCCTTCTGACTGTTACATACATTTGGATTTTGCACAAATACAATATACCCTTATACCCATTTTTAATGGGTTCAGGGTATAAACAGTGGGTATCTGGGTACATATGTCTACTAGTTAAGTAACTAAAGAAAGCCAAATATAATATGCATTTATTAGAACAAAATTTAAAAACTAGACCTAACATTTTTTTATTTATTTGTTTAGTTAATTTGTTTTTATTTTCAGTTCCTAATAATTGAACCTATTGTAAAGAGTAAAAATGTTATAAAGTGTACCCTTGAACAATACGAAAACAAACCTGCATACACTCTGTATATAATCCAAATTTTAAATAATTATATAAATTAATATATGATAAATATGTATATATTATTTAAATAATATTAGTTGTTATTTTTAAAAGAAATGTTTGTTCATAAAGAAGTTATAGACGACTTAAATCTTTTACTGCCAATAAGCTTTGCGTAGTCTGAAAACCGTGCAAACCATAGCAAAACGGGTAGCGTGTTATTATAAATGCGCTAAATAAAATGTGAAACTCAAATAATAATAAGTAATATACATGATTTTTGGTGAAATAGTAAAAAAGTACATATATAGATCGTGCGGGAGAATTGACAAACCTACCTTGAACCCATCATAAGTCCAACTGCCAAATTTTAGAACACATGTTTGTTCATCGAATGGGAAATATTCTACGTCTATCTCACAGGATGACTTGTATATTGCTGGTGGTTTCCATTCAACTAATCCTTCAGAGTAAATTGTAGCTTTTGTTGCAAGAGTCACTTCGAAGTTACCATCGGCACTACACAATATCATTATTTTTTTCAATAGTTATTCGTACAAATAAAATTAATTTTTAATTTTTTTAAGATTTCATATTTCAATTCCATTACTTAGCATAAGTTTAGAATATTCTTTTACTAATAGGTTTGCAAACAAATGGTTTTGCCTTAAATCATCCTTTACCTGTTTAATCGAGATCAATTTCAAAAGTTGTATGTGAAATATTAAGCCGTATATATGCTAATTAAAAATGTTTTAACATTGCGGGTATTATAAATTTTTCAGAAAATGCGCTACATATTTCTATGCGTAAACCTTTCCGACCAAATAATCTTGATCAGTAGCAACAACCAAGTCGACTTAGCCGCGTACGTCTGTCTGACTATGTCTATGAAAATCAATGTCTCAGTTTATAATCTAATTTAATGGAAATTATCTAAAATCGGTATTTTAATTGCAATTGTTTTCTAAAATAAGAACAGTGGCTGTTTTTGATTCTGAACATTTACTTCAACAACGTATTACAAGAAAAATGGCAAAATTATCAGACAACTATGTATAATAAAAATCACTGTGTTAAAAGTCGTTTTTGTTTTTGATATAATAGAATATAAATTTTAATTCAATTTTACTGGGGGACAATTTAAATCTACCCGTACTAAGTATCTCGAAGTGCATTCTTCCTCCAAAATGAGTGGATGTTGTAAAAAGCGTAACAAATAAATGTTCACAAAGATTTTTAAAAATAAGTTTGCAGCCGATCAGAAGGTATTAAAAAAGGTTGAACACAACCGTTTTCCCCTCAAGAGGCGTGGAATATTATGATATTTGCAACTGAGCTCTTATGGTGGGCTTTGGAAACAATTTTGAGGTATACCGGAGAAACTTAAAATAAATCGTTTAAAATAATATAGATTAATTTAAAAAAAAAAGTTTCCGTGGCAGAGTGCGATCTCGCAAATGACCGCATTACTTGCTGCGGACTCTACTTAACACCCACACCAGCCAAAATAAATAGTTTCCCCGGTAGGGATCGAATTCGCGACAGACGGCACCACTTCTTATGCCTGTTCTCCACAGCTATTCTAATAATTAAGTATTATTGAAAAAAAAAAAAAACGAAGTAAAATAGCAGCACAGAAAGCAGTCGCAATCGCAATGCTGTTGATTGAATACGAAACATATGCGCATGAGTGTGTGTTCTACATGCATACAGAAATTCTAGGAAATTGCGCTAGCTGCCGCAAACACGTGGGCAATCATACCTTGACGGTATTATAATTTAATCCTGAAATGTGTTACGCATAGAAGGAGACATCTCCGATCCCATAAAGTTTACATATTCTAGATCAGCATCAATAGCCGAGTCGATCTAGCCATGCCCGGCTGCCTGTTCACTCGTCCGTCCGTCCGTCCGTCTGTTCGTATGTATGAACTCAAGGATATTTGAACCTATAAGAGCTAGAGACTTGAAATTAGTTGAAGGTCCTCTTAGTGCCAGATCGAGTTTGTTTCCGACATTCGATAACAGGTCGCCTTTGCAAGCAATCGATAAAAATCGATATCGACATCCTGTTTTTTGAGCAAATTGGGTAAATATTAAGAGCTAGAGTCACCAAACTTGATATGTTGCTTCTAGAATATTATAAATATAAAAAAGCTATAAAAAATTAATAACGCAACTTGTATTGCCCACCAATTAAAGCCACAATTTAATTGCAATTGACTTTTTGAGAATATCCAAATATTCTATGTCACAACTAGATGTATTGTAGAACACAAACGCTATTAAAGAAACCGTGTTTTGACTTTCCTCGTATCAGCGTCAGCAAGCGCAAATTACAAAAATTTCTGTATGCATGTACACACACACACATTCATGCGCGTCTGCTTTGAATTCTATTAACATCATTGTGGCTGCGATTGTTTTGTTTTCTGTGCTGATACTTTAAATCGTTGTTTTTCTCAGCAAGACTCAATTATAGGTGGGGCTGTTGAGTAGAGGCAGTGGTGCGGTCTGTCGCGAATTCGAGCCCTACCCTTTTTTGGCTGGTGTGGCCGTTGAGTAGAGTCGGCAACAGGTAATGCGGTCAGTTGCGAGCTCGAACCCTGCCAAGGGAACTTTTTTTGTAAATTTATATTTATTACTTCAAACGGGTTCCGGAGGGTTCAGAGTATTCCCTAGTCGGGAGCTCCCGATTAAAACCTCTATATCTAAAAAAATCTCTTTTATTTCTTATTTGTGAAACAAAAATAATATTGATTTTACCTAAAATATTTATTTACGTGATTAATTATTTAAAAAAAAAAGCACGTAAATAAATATTTTAGGTTAAATCAATATTATTTTTGTTTCCCAAATAAGAAATAAAAGAGATTTATATATATATATATATATATATATATATATATATATATATATATATATTATATATATATATTATATAATGTTGTGTTTGGCGACCTTTCCATTTTATAATTTTTCGTTTAGCTGACCTAACAGCTCGCTTGCCTAGTGAGGTGGTCTACAAGTCAGTACCCTTCGCAAAAGGTCCGGGGCTCAATCCCCAGTAAAGTCAAAAAGAAAATGTAATTTTTCTAATACATACAAAAGCCTCATATAATTATCAACACCACATAATTTGCTTATTATCGATAAGAAAGATAGTAAATAAAAAAAGAAATAAAAAAAAACTGACCTAACGTAGAAATGCTAATTGCGAGAGCGCTAAAATTCTCTCCCGATTAATATGAAAGAATTACTTCATTACTTCACTTCACAATACGTTGCGAGCGGAGATGAATTGGTACAGATGATCAACGAAAAATAAACACAAGAGTCAGCACACGCTAAATTCTCTTTATTAGTAAGTTAACGAAGAACAACCAAAGCACAAGGGAAGAAAGAAAGGAATCAAAGGAATAAGATGATTACTACCACAGCAGTGCCCCCAAGAATGTATGGACTGCCGAAAATTCACAAGGAAGGACCACCTCTGAGACCAATAACTTCTCTATCGGTTTCCCATCATAGGACTATGCATATACATATATTATAAAAATACTACGAAACTTGACAACGGACTCTAGATATAATATTAAAAGTTTTTTAAAGTTGATAGACAGAGTTAAAAATGCGACTTTCAGGGAAGACGAAATATTAGCATCTTTTGACATAGTATCCCTGTTTCCCAGCATACCAATAGAACTGGTACTGGACATAATAACATAATAACAAATGAACCACATTAGAAGATATCAGAGCTATACCAAAACAATTGTTCATGAATATATTTCTGTATTCATGAGAAAAGGTTTTAGAAATATGAAGAAAGAACGTGCATACAATTAAAAGGAATGCCAATGGGATCACCGGCCTCTCCAATAATAGCTGACATTATGATGAAGGAACTTTTAGACAATGTTACTAGTAAATTGACAATCAAACCAAAACTTCTGACATATATAGATGACCTTTTTGCTGCAAAGAAAACAAAACATTTAAAAAGATTTAAATTCGTTTCACAAACATATCAATTCACAGTGGAACTACAAGACGGGATGCTACTATACTTGGGCAACTCACACAAAATTAAGTGGAATATAAAACTAAAACTTAACTAGAACTCTAACCATCCAAAATGTATGATTATAAATACAGCACTAAGCTGTATGAGAAGGATGACAAACATATCGGACGCACTATACCATAAAGAAATCGAAATTAAAAAACTATTGACCATTTCCGAAGAATATAATTAGAACATTATTTAAAAGACAACATATTAGAACACATAAGCCAACAAAATCTCCAAATATATATATATATATATATATATCTAACGTGTGTACCAAGATTATCGGAACGGTTCATAAACTCAGACTGGTAAACAGAAAAGAAATATAAGTATATAAGCCTACATATACTTTACAAAAATTCTTTAATAATACTAAGGTGAAATACCAATGATGGACAAAAGTAATGTCGTTTATAAACTACCATATGTCGGGGATAACAACAATAATTGCAACAGAGTGCACATCGTCACAACAAAATCCAACCTAAAAACCGGAATAACCCAACACAAATCTGATTTCAAATTAAGACATCAAAAAAATATACAAACAAGTAAGAGGTTCTAGTCGGGAGCTCCCGACTAAGGAATACCCTGAACCAAAGACAATATAAACACTAAGATGAGTAACGCCCATACATTTGAATGCGACACAAAATTGCTAGCCTGGCCTTTCATTTGGCCTTTGAGGCTTCGTACGGCATGCCTGTCGACTGGTTGTTCGTTCTCCAAAGACCAGACGAACGAATGCCGAAGTCGCGGCTTGCTGATGCTGACACGAGCTACGAAGTTAGTCGCCAGCCTGCCTTCAGCAAAGCTGGTCGATGCTGCTTTGCGTAGCTTTGTTTTTGAAGTACATAAAGCGAAAAAGTTTAGAACTTTACGATTGACGCAAAGTGCTTGTGCTTTATCCATCAAATGCATGCTTTATTTAAATGATATATTACCCTAGATATTAACAAATAATTTTACAGGAAAATTTAAGAACTTTTAAAATTTTTAAACAAGGCGCTTCTTGCGCAATAATTATGTTAAGAAAATAGCACACATAGATTTATTTCACGTTTCTTTTTGGACAGTGTATGCTCGAGAAAAGTTCTTGTCTCAGTCAATGGCGTGCAAGCACCTTTGGTTGTATGCGTGAATTACACATGGATAAGAACTTTAAAGTATGTATGTATGTGTTGTTATTCACTGCCCTGGCTTTAGCTGGCAAGAAATTAATTTTGTTAGTTTTCTTGCGCAGATCATGACCTATCCCGAATTTGTGTTGATAGATCAATACATTTTGTGTACTGAGGTTGGCTCCGTAGCAAATATGTATTTCTAAGTCGAAGCAAATGTTGACATAAGTTCTTTAAATTAAATTAATATTATTTTTATTCTCCAATTAAGAAATAAAAGAGTGCTAAACAATACAATTGCATATTTATTTGTATAAATA